GCTACATGTAACTTCTACAGATGTAGAATTCCGTGTTACTATGTAGTGGTGTTCGGATGCCAATAAAGTTTTGTGCACACCATGATGGTTGCACATGCGCGCTAGGCACTTCCTGAAAGTTGTTAGCTTATGACCACAGGTGTGCGCCGATGCACGTGACTCGACGGAACAAGTTGCCTTTGCGCGCATGCGCCAATATCATATCGGGCACGAAGAATTGAACATATAAAAAGAGACACCGGAAGGTTGGATAAATCATCTTTAGCTCCTGAGGAAGTCCCAAATACCATGGGACGAAACGCGTAGAGCCAGTCTGACGGCAGTCCAGAGATCCTATTACTACCACGTTTACAGCTGCAGGTATCCCCTAGCCCCCAGGAGTCGCGACCAGGAGGCTTTGTGAGAACCGATTTCCATCGTATAGTCTTTGGTACTGGACTTTTGTATCCCGGTCTCTTAATTGCACTGCTTTATAATTGTTTTTTTTTTATTTATTTTTTTACTGACCCTTTGTTTTTATCATATAATCTTTGTTATATTCTCTATGAATTTAGTCATTGCATCTCATTGTTTTAGCACCCTCATTTAGTGGGTTTCACTTTCACCTTCAGTCTACAATTCGAAATGCATATAATACCCTTTTATGAATTTGAGGTCATTTAGTAAGAAGATGTAAGACATTTAGAAGATATTCCCCTTTTCAGAAAATAAAGAATTTTACATTTATGTATACAGAAAATGTATATACAAATTTATATTTTATTTCCATTACCACATGTATTGGCCCAAGTTTGGGCCTGACATAAATTTAGACAGTCAGTTGCAACACCTAGCCACATAGTTACTAAACAATGAAGGCTCAAAAAGTGCATGAATACCCAGGACAGACAGAAAACTTTAAAATGTAGAGTGAAACATTAAATTGCAGGGTGACTAGCTAAAATGATAAAAGTCGATATGGCCTAGTGAGGGCCAAATACAGTAAGCAGAATGAGGCATTGTTGCCAAATACAGAAAGCAGAATGAGGCATGCCACGTATAATTGAAATGGGCTGAATTTGCATGACAGGCGCACAGTCGGATTTGCCGGCATATGCGCTAACCTTACCCAAACCCCCATTAAAACACGGACACAGGTTATACTGTTGGAAATAATTTGTCCACAGCTTTATTAAATTATTAATAAATAATTAAGGAATAACAAATGGGGTCATTGCCAACAAATCTTAATAATGTTAACCTCCCCCATATACATAACATACCCCTAGCAATGACCCCACAATAATAACAATAGATAACAATCTAAATAACATGTTAACACAGAAACTGGCCGTCCAATTTGACCACATTTCCACCAGGTTAAATTGTAGGGTGTGTACCGAGACACCGCTACCCACCATATCCATTGTAGGGGTGTACCAAGACACCGCTACCCACCATATCCATTGTAGGGGTGTACCAAGACACCGCTACCCACCAGTTCCAGTGTAGGGTGTACCAAGACACCACCACACCCCCAGGTTCGGAGCCACCGACGGGCTCGAACCTACCAACCACGTGCAACACTGCCCAATCCACACTAAACCTCAGGACGCCCACTTTCTCCTCCATCTACCCTCCGATTTAACCAGGCCATTCCCCGCCACAGCTCAGGACTTGACACCTAAAGTTCCTGAGCGACCCCCACCACACCGGAATAAGGCCTGTTGAATGCCTTCCTGAAGGCCCAATTTAAACAGATCACACTTTACATCTGAAAATGTACCCCATCCCACCTGGAGTACCCAGGGAGCTTTCCTCCCAATTCGTTGTGTCTCACTGCTACACCGCCCCCACATCTGATAAATACCGCCATCAATTTTTTATTAAGTCGTCCTCGACACCGAGCTACCACGGCCGGGTACGTAGTATGTCTCCAATGTAACCAAGGAACCATCTCGGACCGCACCACCACCACACCCGTGGCCAGCTCCCATAGCTGGTCCTCCTCCCTCTGCCTCCACCTGATCAATTCCTTTTCTGGGACCATGCCAATATCCAGAATGTCCTGGAAAGTACCCCTTGTTACCTCCCGGAAAAATTTCTCCCCTAATGTCTTGCCACCAAAATCCCTGAAAAACAAAACCACTCCTGCTCCACCAATTTCAAAGGAAAGCCCAGTTACGTTTGAATTGAAACGCGGCTCCCATCTGTGCCCCTTAGATATAAGAATGACCCACCAACCATGTCACCAAACCTGAAACGAAAGTAATTAGCGACAAGGCATAGCCCCAAACACAAACCCATACGTCCATAGCCATTAAACCAAATAGACTGGCCTGAAACAGGACTTAAACCGTACTGACTCCCACCTGCCTAAACGTTTCCCTAGGTCCTCACTTAAAACCAGGTGGGGTGCCTCTGTTACCGCCATCACCTGCGAAGAATGGGTCCCAAAGTGCCCGGGATCCAAACCCAACATTGTCAAACCCCATCGAACAAACACCTGCGGGAATTGAATCGTGACAGCACCGATCTGTCCCCTTTTACGAGTAAGCCACCCGATGTCCGGGCAAAGCTCCAAGTAGCATGATGCGCTTAACACCGGGCGTACCCCTGACCCCGGCAGGGAATATAGCTTTACCAAACCTCCTTTACCAGACACATTCATTCTTGAACAACCCTACTGAATCGTTACCTTAACCGACTAAGGTTCGACAACCGAGTGTAGAACTCCCCAACACCTGCCCGAAGGCACTCACCAGTTCCCCAATCCAAATTGCCCCAAGCCTCCGAGAGGGCCACCGCAAGCAAACTCACTGCAAAAGTAGGGAGATATTTCATATCTCTCCGTAAGACCCGCGATGCCTGACGGACGTGACAACGTTCCGTCACTTCCTCCCAATCAGTCAGTTTAAACCTTAACAACAATGCCACCATGCTCCTGTCCATTGCTGATGGAGCTAACGCTGAACAAACAAACGGCTTAGGAACCACAGCAAGGTATCCCTTCGCCCATCCTTTGACCGGGCCCCCACAGTGAAACCAACCGCCTTGTCCCACATATCTCAAACGTTCACATAGGCAGTCCCTGTGCCCGGTGCCATAGGATTCTGTATCGATCCTCCAAGCATGGCGTCTCGAGCTGCCACATTTCCTCCAGACTGGAAGTCCCTCCTCCCGCGCCCCCTGGGGCCGCCATTCGCAGCTTGTCCCCTTGTGCGCGAGCCAAGTAACCAGCCCCTACCTTCCCCCAACCAGGCACGTGGCGTGCCTGCACCCGATACCTGAACAGTGATACGAATCGCCGCCATCGGCGTACCTCCTGAACCGAGGACCCGGCTGGATGGTAAACCGCGTGAATTATGACTTTTCATCCCTTAATCCTTCACCTTTTAGAGCCACAGCCACTCCCAATTGAAATAACTCAAAAGATGCCAACTTCGAATAAGAGGACTTACCTTTCATGCCTCCCACCACCGCTCTGCGCACCAATTGCCTTCCAGGTATGCCCCGGAATCTATGTTCCCAGAGGTATCTGTGAACAACTCGATACCACCCGCAAAGGCTCCACAAGTAGCCTTAGCCATGAAATGGCTACCGACCCAGTCCTCGCGACTAACCCGACATGCAACTTGAAACTACCTTATGAACAACTGCGATTTCTCAGTGACCTTCTTGGACCTGCGAACCTTCAGCCTGAACTCCCGAAGTGCAGTCAACTGAACCCCAGGCAATCGACACTCTCCTACCACCGAAACAATTTCCAGTCCAAGCAAAGACGTGCGGTAGGATTCCCGTGACCGTAAGGTATGTCCACAACGGCCCGGCCCAGCCGAGCCCACACAGCAAGCTATCTTACAGATAATGTACTAAGGAACCCCTTTCTGATTCCTTTTTCACCTCCCACTCCCAGACGGATCCAACTTCCCGAGTAGGAACATGAATGGAACTGCCCCTTGGCAAGTAGAGGTTACCAATAGGAACCTGCAAACATGCAACCCAAAAGATGGAAGGGTCGCCAATAATCGAACGCGTCCTGTTCCCCCAAACCAACTCGACGGCAAGGCCGAATGATGCCAACGATACAGAACAGTTCCGCGGCAATGTCCTCATTTACTGATGCCCCTTTTGGGTGCAATAAGTTTTGTATAGGACAGAATTTGCCCGCCCATTTCTAGGGGACCACCCCCCATGGAGACACCCACAGGTCCGCTGATGGCGCGGAAGTTCCCCCATGGACTTGATATTCGCCCACCACTTTTCCTGGTCCCTCGACTTTGAATGGAATAGCGTAAACCCCCTCAACAATCTCAGCCATAAAACTAGCGCATTCATGGGAGGCTTACTGCCTTAGCCACAGCAGCAATGCACTGATCATCACTGGTGCCGCTCCGAGCCACAACCGCGGGGCTGAAGCCCTGCCGAGTACCCTTCCTGCCTTAGGTTTTCCTTTTTTGACGCGTCAGTTGACACCATGACTCCCACCGCCTCCGGAACACCCGTATCGAAGCCTACCCGCCGGTCTCCAGTTGTACTGACCTTTCTTCTGTCCAGCCAGCACAGCACCTCCTGGGGGTGTGCCATCAGCCCCCGGAAAAAGCGCATTTCCTGCACTACCATTAGGAACCACCCCTTTTAAATTAATGAACTCCTCGAGCGGAAGACAGGAATTTTTTTTTTTTTAAATCCCCTTTATCAAATCTTATCCTCCACCTTCAAGTGCCCCGCCAATGTCCCCGCGAAGGACACGTGCCCATTTTGTTGCGCCACGCCTGGAATATTGCCACACATCTAACTGTTCTCCTGCCCCGTCAGATGTCCCCGGTACCGGTACACCGTATTCCCCTTCCCTTACCCGGCACGCCGTCACCACCACCCTTACTTCGGCCTCCCGACTGCGCTCTGGTGACCCTACCCTTCGGCACCGCGGGGATGGCCCCTTTTTTCCTTGAGCATGACTCTATAATGATTTATGCAATTTTAAAAAGTGTGGTGTGTTTATTGACTCACCGCCCGAACCCCTGTCTGCGCTGTCCTTCCATCCACCTTGCCAGGCTCTGGAGTATCCGTTGGATGCCGACTCCTGTCCGCGCTGGTCCAGCCTCAAGCCCGTAGAAGTAACACTCCTCGACCTGCTTCTCCATCCCTCATCCGACCTCCCGCTGCTGCTGTGCCTGTCATTGTCGTTGCGCTGCTCCCTGCCGTACTCACACCTGCTGATGCTCCTCCTGTGTTCCTGCTCCTGAGAACGCCCCCCAGGGGGCTCCCGCTTGCCTCTGTGCCTTACGTCCATTTCCACCCGTCCATTTCCTCTCTTCTGCCCTCTGCTTGCAGTACCTGGCCTCTCCCAGGCCGCCTCATCCACTTGTGGCCCCTTTAATTAATCCTGGTTGCTGGCCTTCCCCTCCATAGCTGCTCTGCTGTGCCTGTGAAGACTCCGCCTGCTGCTTTCACTATCCCCTTCCTTCACCTCTGACCTGACCCTGGCCCCATCCAAGGCCGCCTCCGTCTGTGTCCCGCCGACCTGGACCCCCCCGCCTGCCCATTGGGGGGGGGGGACCACTTTTACACTGCTGGGCCCTTGCATCATTCCCCCTGTCACTCAGGTATGCCACCAGGGGCAGACTCACCAGGACGCCTCTTGCCGCTCTCCCTGCCTGGCGACCATCATGTCATGCTGGATTCCGCCGTCCTTTGTGCTTTCCCGCCCCCCCGCCTTATTGCAGGGGGCGCTCTTCCTGTGCGGCCTCATCCTGACCTGCCGTCTTGCCTGACCGGCGCCGCGTCGAACATACGGCGCCAGCCGCCCTCCAACTCCTGCCTGCTTTCCGACCTCATTCTCAGCCTTCCCCTTGCCGCCTCCTGACAGGCTCATGGGCTGCCAAACTAACGATGTCACTCACAGGCTGCCGCTGGGGCGTCCTCGCTCTCCTTGCTGGCCTCTGTTCCGCCGCCGCGTGGGGGGGGGTAGCAGATGTGCTCGGGGCCCCCCAGCTGCTCCTGCAGCCACGATTCTGCCACAACCTTTGTGACCAGGATGGTGGCTTGCTTGGAGTTCTGTCTGAGGCTGATGGGAGTGAGCATGCAGCAGCTCACTCCATGCTGTCTCCTGTACCTCCATGCTGCCTCTGTTCTTCTATGCTGCCTCCATGCTGCTGATGGGAGTGATCATGTAGTAGCAGCTCACTCCAGCCTCTCCTGTATCTCCATGCTGCCTCCTGTCTCAGTACTGCCTGTTCTCCAGGCTGCTGATGGGAGTGATCATGTAGTAGCAGCTCACTCCAGCCTCTCCTATATCTCCATGCTGCCTCCTGTCTCAGTACTGCCTGTTCTACATGCTGCTGATGGGAGTGAGCATGCAGTAGCAGCAGCTCACTCCAGCCTCTCCTGTACCTCCATGCTGTCTCCTGTCTCAGTACTGCCTGTTCTCCATGCTGCTGATGGGAGTGATCATGTAGTAGCGGCTCACTCCAGCCTCTCCTGTATCTCCATGCTGCCTCCTGTCTCAATACTGCTCTGTACTTCATGCTGCCTCCATGCTGCTGCTTTCTCCCTCCAGGGCAGGCAGCTTTCACAACTGACAGGTAAGCTTAGGTTCAGTTAAAATGGCCACTTCATATAATGGCTGGTATAAATACTCCCCTTATGGCTCCGCCCTACCCAGCATGCTAGCTGTCACTAAATTCCTGTGGCTGCTATGCCTACCTCCTGGCTCTGTCAAGGCCTATTCCTCTTAGCTGCGCTAATCCATGGGCTACATTACTAGCAAAATTTGCCATATCCAAATGGCTGAACAAACAAACTTAAGTTATCGAAGCCGTGGCTGGGCTGGACGCGGCAGTGCCCCATGACCTTCTAATGAGGCTGCTGTTTAAACAAATACTTGCGTGGGCCACACTAGGCCAAGACCAACATGTTTGGAGTTTAGGCAGTTTGTGTTGATGACGTTTGAACTGGAAGTAGATGGTTCTGTATTGAACCAGACAGTCTCATCATCCAGCAGCTCGTCTGACCATTCACGGGAGGGTAGGGTTGGGGGAGTCCCTTTTAAAGGTCCATAAGCCCCTCCCACAACTTCAGGCCAAGCCTTCCAATATATACACAAACACATTTTTTTTTTTTTATTTTTTTTTTTTATTACTGTGTTTCTTAAACTCTTTGACAACTCTTAGTAGTCAAAGAGTTCAAATAACACTTAATATAATTCAAATAATACTTCACAGAATTTTGTACTTATCACTGAAATATCAAAAGCTTTCTATGCTTAAAGGGACACTATAGGCACTTTAAAGCGGCACTGTCATGCCGAACTTACCTTTCCTCAATCTCTTCCTCTTCTCCCCCTCTCTCGGGATCTGTTATTCTTTTCTTCCTGTCTTCTTTAGTTTTCTTTAAAATCATAAGACAAAGTAGGGACTCTTTGCCTTATGGAGGATTCCTCTGCTTGACCAGCTCTGACCAGCGGAGGAGCAAAGTGTGCTTCATTTCCGCTGGTCAGAGCAATTTTCCCATGATCCCTAGCTTTCCTCAGTGTTCCCACAATGCTTCCTGTCATTTTACACAAAACTGCCGAATTGCGTTCTAACTGAATGACAACAGTCTGTTAGTTTCTTTTAGAACGCAATTCGGCACTTTATTCGGATCAGAATTTCATTCGAATGAATGAAACTCTGATCCTATTCTTGCTGTGGCTGCATCTTGCAGCTGCTTAGTAGATAACTCCCTAATTCCCATGGTATCAGGGAGTTATCTACTAAAAGGCTGAAAGACCTAAATTGGTCTTTCAGCCAACTTTACTAATACCAAGTAAAAATTACTTAGTATTAGTAAGTAATATGCCCCTACTTGCTATACTGCGAGTAGGGGCATGTCTGGTAAACAGTGAGCAGCCTGTGGCTGCTCACTGTAAAAAAAACTATTGGCCCCCACCCCTAAACGACGGGTGGGGGCCCTAAAGGAAAATAAGGGGGGAGACCAAATGACCTACTGCCCCCCCCGGCCCCCACCCCTGGGTGGCGGGTGGGGGCCATAAGGAGAATGGGGGGGGACCTACTGCCCCCCCCGGCCCCCACCCCTGGGCGGCTGGTGGGGGCCATAGTGAGAATGGGGGGGACACCTACTGCCCCCCCCTGGCCCCCACCCCTGGGCGGCGGGTGGGGGCCATAATGAGAATGGGGGGGGACCTACTGCCCCCCCCCGGCTCCCACCCCTGGGCGGCGGGTGGGGGCCATGAAAATAATGAGGGGGGGGACCTACTGTCCTCCCCGGCCCCCACCCCTGGGCGGCGGGTGGGGGCCCTAAGTCAATTACCCCCCCCCAAGGTGACTATGGGTCCCCAAGCCCCTAGTCACCCACCCCCCACCCAAAAAAAAACAAGTCCCTACCTACCCCCCTCACCCTACCTACAAGTCCCTACCTACCCCCCTCACCCTCACCCTGGGCGGCAGGTGGGGGCAATAATGAGGGGGGGACCTACTGCCCCCCCCGGCCCCCACTCCTGGGTGGCGGGTGGGGGCCATAGTGAGAATGGGGGGGGGGACCTACTGCCCCCCCGACCCCCACCCCTGGGCGGCGGGTGGGGGCCATAAGGAGAATGGGGGGGACCTACTGCCCCCCCCCGGCCCCCACCCCTGGGCGGCGGGTGGGGGCCATAATGAGAATGGGGGGGGACCTACTGCCCCCCCCAGCCCCCACCCCTAAGTCAATTAACCCCCCCCCAAGGTGACTAGGGGTCCCCACAGGCTGCTCACTGTTTAGTGGACATGCCCCTACTCGCGGTTTAGCGAGTAGGGGCATTTGGGAGATTTTTATCTCCCTTGTGCTATTATGGGGGTCATATTGACCCCCATAGAGTGAGAGGGGGACCTGGGGGGGCTTATGAAGTGGTGGGGAGCACTGCTCCCTGCCGCTTCTATAGTTACATATTACAAGGAGGGAGCTGCACGCCGGTAGCTCCCTCCTTGTAATAAACTGAACGAACAAACAAACACTGATACATTGTGTTTGTTTGTTTGTTCGGCTGATATTTCTATTCACTCATTCGTCTGTCTGATGAATGAATGAATAGATGAAATTCCCGTTCGCATGTCCAGGTGTTTCACTGGGCATGTGCGGGAATCTCACAGTCTGTCTAGTGTGGGCTGATGACGTGTCCCACAGGGACTTCATCTGCCCACACAAAGATGGCGGCGCCCTGAATATAGATCGGGGCAGAAAATAAGGATTAAAAAATAGGTAATGCTGGGGGCTTAGGGGTATTTGGGGGTGACTAGTGAGTCAATTGGATGTAGTGGAGGCGGGAGAGGGGTTAAAAAAAAAAAACAGAATTCAGCATGACAGTGCCGCTTTAACAACTTATGTTCAGTTGTTATGTGCCTTCCGTTCTGTTACAAGAGGTCTTGTAAGTGCAGCTTCAAGCTATGCCTTCAAGCCTTGTGGCTATGAGAGATGGGAATCTTACTTCCTCTCATTCTGTAACATACCATGATGTCACATGCTCAGTGTGTGTGTCAGTGCACTGAATGCAGTGTGTGTGTTAGTGTAGTGAATGTAGAGTGTGTGTTAGTGTAATGGATGCAGAGTGTGTGTTAGTGTAGTGACCTGGTGGTCCGGTGGCATTGTGCCCCCGGCTCCCTTTATTTGCAGAGGGGGCCCAGCAGACTGCAGCAGTACTTTGCTGCATTTCCCTCTCTCTATCTCCCGCGAGCGTGGCGCGCGGAGCGTTGCCATGGTAACCAGTGTCAACGCTCTGACGGGCACGGGTCTCGCAGGAGTTAGAGAGAGCAAAGAGCTGTAACATACAGATGCGGTCTGCTGGGCCCCCTCTGCAAGTATAGGGAGCTGGGGGCCCGCTGCTGCACATATATATAGCGATCATCACTATATATATGTGCAGAGAGGGAATGTGGGGCCCAAGATTGTATGCAATAATTCTCTATAGCAGAATCTTAAGTGCATTGCGGCAAGTGCCATGCATGTGTCTGAGGTTCTCATTTCTCCTCTATGCGGAGCATTGAATTGGCCCGTTATTCAAAAGGCATACCTCCAGGATGATACAACTCGACAACACAGAGGGAATCCTGGCACTGTGGAAAAGGTGAATATTTTGCTTTATTTTCATTTAAATTTTTTTCCATGGGGTAAATAATTGATGAGGGGCATCAGGGCTGTAGCAGATATGTATTCCTATAGCTACAGTGTTCCTTTAAAGAAGTACTCCAAGCACAATGACCACTACAGAATGTTGCACAGTAGTACAACAGTAGTTACAGTAGTTATTTATGTTCTGGTGCTCCCACAAATGTAAAAAGTCAAACTGTTTACGAATGGCTTAATAACTTACCTCAGGTCCACCAGTCACGAGTCACTTTTGCTAATGCTCTTAAACTAAACCTTGCTGTGCAGGACTAGCTCATTGACAGAGTGTCAGCTGATCACTCTTGCATCACCAGGCTTAATGCAGATAGCTTCCGGCTCTCCATAAGGTAGCAGACCTCAGATAAGTTTGTCAAATGGTCTGACTAGTAACAGTAGGGAGTACCAGGGCATCCCTGACACCATACTCACTATAGGGGGCTGTAGTGGTTATGGTGCATGGAATCTTCCTTTAAAATTTATAAATAACAACAATTTCCAAATTAAGTATTATTATTTTATTATTTATATAGTGCCAGCAAATTCCGTAGCGCTGTACAATGGGACATAATACTATACACACGAAATACATACACTAAAAACAAAAATCCATTTACCATAGAACAATATGGAACAAAACTTGTCATGGACACTATATCACGGTTAGATGACTGAGATGAAGGTGCCCTCTTATGGTGCCAGTAGTGAATTGGATTCCCCATGATAAGGAATGATTAGACTTCTTCCCCGGGGGTTCATCGGGCATCACTCCCAGCCTCTACTGCGTTCTATGGAGAAGTGGAAACTCTCTATCTGAGTTAGACCCAGTGGTGCTGTTACTCTCATTGGTTGAGCGCAATCAGCTAGCCTGGATTGCAGAGCTGAGCTTAGGATAGCTGATTGAAACTCCTACTTAGGAGATTCTGGCTCTCCATAGGGAGTAGATCTGGTAGTGCCGAACAGACCCGAAATAAGAATTCAAACCATTCTACAATTGTTTAACTACTTAGAATGGGAGAAAGTGAGCACACTACAGGCACCAAAACCACTACAGGGAGCAGTAGTGGTTATGGTGTTTTGAGTGTTCTTTAAAAAGAGAGAGGACCTTGAATGGTCCCAAAATCCTTTAATCAAATGTGCTTCACTTTGCCTGCAAGACTAATCGCACCATAACTTCCACTCTCAGTATCCTAAAGTCCAGGATTCTTCACTCACATTCATAATTATCATTTTATATTATCATTCCTCAGACTGTTATTAATTGAGTAGAAATATATA